AAATGAAACTCAAATATTTAACAATGTTTAGCAAGATTCAAATGATTAATTTTTTTCCTCTTTAATGCTCTTTTGTGCTCTCCAAATGTATGTGTATCATTTTTATTATTAGAAATGTTAAAAATAAGATTTGTAAATTTAAGAAATATATCTTAAAAATGATTTGGAATAGTGCAGTTCAATAGAAGTATAGTCTAATTTTAAATTTTCTAGTAAATACATTCTCTAAAAGTAAAAAGTAATATATTTTATTTATCGCAGTATATCTAAAATGTCAACATGTAACCAATTTAAAAATTATTGATATTTTACATTCTCTTCTTGTTCTGAGTGTTTGAAATCCTGCGTGTGCTTTACATTTTTGCACATATCAAACTGTATTACTCTTTTTTCAAGTTTTCAAAAGCCACTTGTGGCTCATGATTAACATATTGTTAACTGTAGATTTAGAACACAAAAAAATCTTGAATCCCAAATTGGGCCAAATCGCAATCATTTTCTAAATCATCACTTCAAATTACTTTGTAAATGCAGTTGATATGGATTAGGGGGCTATAAATTGAAGTGCCTCTAAGTCCCAGGGAGGTAACTAGATAATGCAAATAAGAAAAGCTGGGTTCAAAAAGTAAAACTTGAAACACATGCCTTTCTTAAGAATTGAAGCTGCCACCAAACTTCTTCTAGTCAATTGGTCCAACATGGGAGTGCAGGCCCAGGGTTGACACATCTACTAATTTTTTCATACAAACCTAAAATTTGTATTTTCATGTGCAATTTCTCAATTTTTAAATATCGACAATGATTTAAAAATTGTACAGCATCGTGTGAGACAAATTATGTTTTCAACCAAATGTAATCCCTTTTATGCTAAATTTTGATTTCTAGGAACAATAATTACATTTAAAAATCCACTAATTTTATTAACTTTGGAACATTAGACCACTCATTTTTAGTGAACTAAAACTTATTTCATCTTACATGCTTTATAATGTTAACAACTAACATTTACTGAGAGCTTAGTATATGACAGGCATCTTGCTAACACTTTCTGTATTTTACAGATAAGAGAAATTAACCTAAAGGAGATTTACCCACTTTGTTTAAGGTCAAAAAGCTTATAAATGATGGTGCCAATATTTGAACTAAGGTCTGCCTGACTCTAAAGGGTTTGCTTCTACAAACACTCCTTTAAATTGCCTAGGAATATCCATATCTAGGTAATCTGCCAATCTCTCTCTCTCTCTCTCTCTCTCTCTCTCTCTCTCTCTCTCTCTGACCCTGCATCGCTCTCTCTCTCACAAATGCGTGTGCACGCACACACACGCACATGAACATACACACAAACATACATACAGAGACTTATGTATTCTGTTTTATTCCCAAGAATATTCATGCATTGGGCTTCTGCCTCTCTGCTTTGGTCTCTTTTTCTTTTATTTCTCTCCTTTATACTTATCCTATATTTCTTTTACAAAAGACATTTCTCGTCTTCATTCTCATCTTTCATTTTCCTTGCATGATATTGTCTCTGTTTTAATCACTTTGATAAGAGAGGGCTATGAACCAGTGGTGTGCTGAAGCTGGCTTTTACTGGCTCAGGACAATTAATTGTGTATATTTCTTCTCAAACTCTGCATTAAGTGATATGTTGGTAGCTGAAAATCAGCTGTAATAAGAATATTTACACAGTGGAAATAGTCTAACACCACAAATAGTTTGCTGGAAACCCAGTCGTTAGATATTTACCAGCATACCGCTGGCTTTTGCACTGTTTACACATCCAATTTTCTGTCTGGGGGTTGCTGTAGGTGTTAGGTAGCTTACCTATATATCTGCCCATCTACTTTTTCCTTTGTTTTTGTAAATACTGTTATTTTCTGGAACCAAAACTTTAAAAATTAACTCCTTTAGCTTATTACACTGATTCACAGTGTATGTGATGAATTTCACTGCTTTAACATTCAGAGACTTTATTTTCCAGTTCTGCATAAACTGAAAATTTTTGTTCTTGTTAAGATTTATTTTTAGTACCTTGGATATACATTAATTGCCTTTCTGAATGCATAATCCTCACTGGGCCAGCTGGATATTACACTCAGACCCCACTTCAGTTCATTTTACTGATTTTTTGCCTTGTTTCTGCAACTTTTTTTCTCTCTTTTGTCACCTTTTACCTATATTTATGCCTTCTATTTCATAGTTCTCTTCCTTTAAATTTTCTAAAATGTTTCCTTGGACTTCTATCCATTTTAACATCAAGTAGCTTAAAGGATCTTCAAGACTCTGCTTCACTTGGGTATTTTATTGTTATTCTCCTTCCTCAAGCATTTCCATGGTTCAGCTTCCATTAGACAACTCCCAGATGACATTGATTAAAATACTAGATGTTCTCAACCTTTTCAGTATCATATTACAGATAATCTCTTGTGTTATTTAGAGATGGAAAACTATGTCCATTGTTTATCAAATTTATCCATTTACAATTCCCAGAGGGCATCCTCATTTTCAAGATTCAAAATTCTGACAACCCACAAATTATATCCTTCATGTACTTATGTTAGTCATCTGAATTCTGTTTCATGAAAAAAAAATGACTTCTTAGTGACATACTCGATGCCTTATTGAATCAAACTGGATAATGAAATAGTTAAATATACCTGTTTGTTCTCATCTCAGTCTCATGCTTCCTCTAACTGTAACACAGTGGTACAACTTTTCATTGAAAGTATTTACTCAATCACAAATGTGACTGGTAATCTGATTTATGCCTGTGTCTTTGCAACATTGTCAGCCAGGCAGCCACTGTTTCTAGCCAGTTTTTTTCCCTAGAGGTAAACAGGTTATTTTGGCAAATTTTTAAAATATAATAACTGTTTTTCCAAGACTTCTGCAAAATGCAGATGTTAGAATGTCAAATGATCATTTTGGGTCATGAAGTTGTATGTATGATGACCCTCTCTGAATCTCATCCTACCCTATATTTTCATTGCATAAAACAGATCAGTTTTTCCTTTAGCACTTGCTAGATTTTTAGTCTGTAGCTCCAGGTCTGTTAGATATGAAACTTTTTCAAACACACTCTTGTCACCTTCCTAGTAGAAAACTTTACATTAAGTTTTCCTTGTTGTTTGCAACCTGACAAATTATGAGACCATTGGAAATTTGAACACTGACTAGACATAAAATGATTGCTGTCCCTTTTTATGTGTGATTATGGCACTGTGGTTATGTTTAACAAGTACCATTATTCTTTAGAGATATCTACTAGTTATCTATTGCTGTGTAGCAATTAGCCCAAAATTCAGAAGCTTAAAACCACATACATCAATTATCCCAAATATTCTGTGAGTCAAATGTCTGGGTGCGGCTAAGCTGTATCATCTCTCTTGGAGTCTATTGCAAAGCTGCAATCAACATATTGGCCAGGGCCAGAATCTTATCTGAAGCCTTGAGTGGGAAGGGATCTGCTTCCAAACTCATTTATTTTGTTTGCAAGGATTCACTTCCTCAAGGGCTATTGGACTGAGCATCTCAGGTCCTCACTAGCTGTTGGCTGGAAGATATTCTCAGTTCTTTGTCACATGGGCCTTTCTAACATGATCTCGTTTCACTAAAGCCAGCAGGGATGTGGGGAATAAGAAGGAAGTCTCCTAGCAAAATAGAAATCACAGTCTTCTGTAACACAATCACAGAAGTGACATCACATCACTTTTGCTGCATTCTGTTGATTAGAAGTAAGACCTAGTGTGTTTGCCCATATTCAATAGGAGGGACAACTATAGCAGGGCATGAATACCATATCCAAAGATAACTTTAAATCTATGTATCTAAGTTCTGACATGAGAATTTTAAAGTGCCTCCGTTGCATTTATAAGTCCACTGAAGAGTTTTTTGGATCTGGACCCATTACTGGCTTTTCTTTTTAGCACAAGTAATCTATATTCTTTAAGAAAAATGTAGCTGAGTATGAAGGAAAAAATTCACCCAATATCTCACAAGATAATCACTATTAAATTATAGTGTACATATTTTCAATTTTAATTATGTAGTAAATATAAAGGTCTTTTAAAATTTTCTCATCCTTTGCCTTTAATGCTTCTCTTCATTAAATTTACCTTCACATTCTTCCAGTTATTATGATTTCTATTTAAGAATTAAGATCATAATATATACTCACCAGTAACCCTTTAGACATTAATGTGCATCAGAATCACTAGAGAAACTTGCTAAAAATGAAAGTTCTAGAGCCCCATTCAGATTTAGGGTAGGACCAGAAGTCCTCATTTTCAAGAAAGTCCTCAAGTGACTCTCACAAAAGTGGCAGATTAGCATACTTTTAGAAACACTAGGACATTATATGACTCTAGAGTTCCTTTAGGAATTGCTAATCTCTTTTAGAAAAGTGGAGATTAGATAGCCAAGGTTATATTATCCAGGACTGACCTGAGACAAGAACTCAAGAGCTCCTGACTCAATCACTATTAATTGTACTTTATTAAGTGCCTACGTCTTGTCAAGCAGAATTCACAGCTTGACCAGCAGGCATCACAGTCCTGAGGAGAGGAGGGATGCTCAACTGATGAGACCTATCTTTGGTAACTGCTAAAAATCTGAAGGGTAAATTTGAGGATAGAGGGTCTTGACTAATAGATGGAAACGGGCCAAAAATAGGTAAACACAACTCACACATTCCTGAACATGTTTCACAGTCATGTGAAGCAAACGTAGGACTCGATTTATAAGGAAGTCATGGGTTTACTCATTTAGCTAAAATATGCAAATTTCATAACCAAGTGTTTATTAAATGACCCTCCTGCTTTCATAAAATCATTACAAATAGTTTCCATTTTTTTCTCGAACTACAGATAATATAAAATACATTAATCCATCTCACAAAAATGAGTCCCTGTATTAATCATTTGGTTTGTTTAATTTCAGCATTTTTCTCTTCATGTATTAAATAAATAAATATAAGATTTGAAATAAAAAGAATACAAAGATTGTTTTTTAAAACTGCTTTATAACTTTACAATCTAAAATAAGCATCTTTCCATGCAATAGGTAAAATTCTCCTAACAAAATCTTACAGACTGGATTAAAAAGACAACATTTAACTAGAAGCTGGTAAAGAGACCCACCAGAAACTAATGACATCAAAGGTTTACAACAAAGGTAAATTACTAACATGTATGTTTAGAAAGCAGGTGTCTCTCTATTAACTTCAAGGACAATATGAGCATTCAAGGCATAAGGCAAAACTCATCATGATGGTCATGGTGAGGGGGGTCAGTGCTAACTGCCCACAGACTGTGACTCAATTGCTTTTCCCTCAGCTTTTGCATGAGTTGCCTCATCTCCTCCCCAATCCTTTCCATATTCTCTTCTCCCATCCTTGCCTGTGGCTCTCCAAGCCTCTGAATCACATCCCATCTATACTGCAGGATTGGCTGCCTGACACGGAACCGCCTACGATTTCCTTTAGGCACACAGTATTCACCAGCTGCCAAAGGGAGAGCCAAGGGCTCTCCTTTATTAACATCTTGCTCCTTTTCATCCTTTTTTTCATTTTCCTGGTTGGCATTTTCCGCGTTGATATTTTTTGCCACTTGTTCCTCTTCGGACGCCATTCCTCCTAGGAGATAAAATGAGAGAGAAAGGACAGAATTTTTGGTGGATAGATCAGCACCGAGGACAGAAGCCTCCTACTCATCTTTCAGAGCCCTGGGTATCAAGGGTTATTTTTTAAATTTCATGTTTCCCACCTGAGAGGCTCTCTACACCCTCTAGGGGGCCCCAGTCCAAGTTCTCCCCCTTTCCTCTCATTTCTCTCCCTTCCCTGGCCCCAAACCCACCATTTTCCCTTCAGATCCATCCCCAGGCCTCAGCAGGCACTAAAATGGAGGACTGGGGACGGGGAACGAGGAACGGGGAACTTAGGGGGGGTTTCAAACTGAGCCCCTGCGCCGCCCCCCCCCGCCACTGTCTCCCACACCTACCTGGGCCCATCCTTGCTGTCTCCTCCACCTCTTCTGGATTGTCGCCGCGAGTGCACCGCTGTACACTTGACACAGACCCACAGACCTGCAGAGGATCGGGGTAGGGGAGCCGGGACCGCTGCAGCCG